CTGTTGTATACATAGGCACCAATACAAAGATGTACGATTTTGAAATGTAGGAATAGCCACACCCTTGTGCTTTTGTTTGGTACTACACAGCAATATTTTAAGATATGCACTTGAACAAAAAAGTATACTGGTATATCAGTTTCAGGATCTTTGTGCAGAAACAAGGAACTAGTTATACAAAAACCCACCACCAGGAATCCCCAGTGTAAACTGGATTTTACCTTATTGTAAGCATGTGGGTGCTCTAGGATAGCTGGGAGTCTTTTTTAATATTTATTCATTTACACCCCACCTTTCTCCTCAATGGGGACCCAATGCAACTTACATCCTTCTCCTCTCCTCCATTTTATCCACACATCCACTGTATAAGGTAGTTTAGGGTGAGAGTCTGTGACTGGCTTAAGGTCACCCAACAACCTTTCATTGCAGACTGGGGATATGAACCTGGGTCTCCCAGATCCTGGTCCAACACTCTAATCACCACATGACCTTCACTAGGCATCCCTTTTCATTAATCTGTATACTACAATCTTAAAACACTGCAGTGAGGTCTTCGACCAGTGTGACAGTGATATTTATACACAATCTCTTGATTCACTCATCTCTTGATTCACTCACACTTAGGAGCAGGCTCATTTAATAATAAGCTTCCTTTTTAAACAGAGAGACACAAAAATTTGCAGGAAATGTATACACTGCATTGAGGTGTTTTTTTTTTGGGGGGGGGTGTCTTTGAAAACACTCAGAGGAAGAAGTGGCACATGTATAATCAATGCAATCCATTTTTATGAACTGTAGAGTCCTAAGCAGAGTTATACCCTGCTAAGCCCACTGACTTCAATGGCACTGAAAGGTGTAACTTTATTTAGGTCTGCAATATAAATTGTCTCTCTCTCATGGATCACTGCCTTGACATGGCGAGGGGGCTTGCATGGTTTAATGAGGCTGTGGGCTATGCCGTGGAGGGCCACCCAGGATGGACAGGCCACAGCGAAGAACTCAGATAAAATGTGATCCACTGGAGAAGGAAATGGCAACCCACTCCAGTATCTTTGCCAAGAAAACCCCATGGACAGTAACAAAAGGCTAAAAGATATGATGCCGGAAGATGAGCCCCTCAGGTCGGAAAGTGTCCAATATGCTACTGGGGAAGAGCAGAGGGCAAGTACAAGTAACTCCAGAAAGAGTGAAGTGGCTGGGCCAAAGCTGAAAGGACGCTCAGTTGTGGATGTGTCTGATGGTGAAAGGAAAGTCCGATGCTGCAAAGAACAATACTGCATAGGAACCTGGAATGTAAGATCTAAGCATCAAGGTAAGTTGGATGTGGTAAAAAATGAGATGGCAAGACTGAATGTCGACATCTTGGGAATCAGTGAACTAAAGTGGATGGGAATAAGCGAATTTAACTCAGAAGACCATTATATCTACTGCTGTGGCCAAGAATCCTGTAGAAAAAATGGTGCAGCCTTTATAGTCAAGAAGAAAGTGAGAAAGGCAGTAATGGGTTACAATCTCAAAAACGACAGAATGATCTCGGTCTGAATCCAAGGCAAACCATTCAACATCACAGTAATCCAAGTCTATGCCCCAACCACTGACACAGAAGAGGCTGAAGTGGACCGGTTCTATGAAGACCTACAACACCTCCTAGAACTAACACCAAAAAATGATGTCCTCATCATCATAGGGGACTGGAATGCTAAAGTAGGAAGTCAAAAGGTAACTGGAATAACAGACAAGTTTGGCCTTGGAAAGCAAAATGAAGCAGGGCAAAGGTTAACAGAGTTTTGTCAAGAGAACACACTGGTCATAGCGAACACCCTTTTCCAAGGGAAAACCACTAGGCCATTCAGGTTTGACCTAGATCACATCCCTTATGAATATACAGTGGAGGTGAAGAATAGGTTTAAGGGACTAGATTTGATAGACAGAGTGCCTGAAGAACTATGGATGGAGGTTCGTGACATTGTACAGGAGGCAGCAATCACCACCATCCCAAAGAAACAGAAAGCAAAGTGGCTGTCTGATAAGACTTTACAAATAGCAAAGGAAAAAAGGAAAGCAAAAGGCAAAGGTGAAAAGGAAAGATTTACCCAACTGAATGCAGATTTCCAGAGAACAGCAAGGAGAGATAAGGAGGCTTTCCTGAATGAACAATGCAAAGTAACAGAGGGAAACAATAGAATGGGAAGGACTAGAGATCTCTTCAAAAAATTGGAGAAATCAAAGGAACATTTCGTGCAAAGCTGGCCATGATAAAGGACAAAAATAGAAGGGACCTAACAGAAGCAGAAGAGATTAGGAAAAGATGGCAAGAATACACAGAAGAACTATACAAGAATGACAGTGTGATCAACTGACCTCGAGCCAGACATCCTGGAGTGTGAAGTCAAATGGGCCTTAGAAAGTATTACTAACAACAAAGCTGGTGGAGATGATGGTAACCCAGCTGAGCTATTCAAAGTCTTAAAAGATGATGAATTGTGGCACTCAATAAGCCAGCAAATTTGGAAAACGCAACAGTGGCCACAGGATTGGAAAACGTCAGTTTACATTGCAATCCCAAAGAAGGGCAATGCCAAGGAATGTTCAAACTACCGCACAATTGCACTCATTTCACATGCTAGCAAGGTCATGCTGAAGGTCCCACAAACTAGAGATGGATAGAGAACTCCCAGAAGTACAAGCTGGGTTTCGAAGAGGTAGAGGAACTACAGATCAAATTGCCTACATTCGCTGGATTATGGAGAAAGCAAGGGAGTATCAGAAAAACATCTATTTCTGCTTCATTGACTATGCTAAAGCCTTTGATTGTGTGGATCACAACAAACTATGGCAAGTCCTTAAAGAGATGGGAGTACCAGACCACCTCACATGTCTCTTGAGAAACCTGTATAAGGGTCAAGATGCGACAGTTAGAACCGGATATGGAACAACTGATTGGTTTAGCATAGGAAAAGGAGTACGACAAGGATGTGTATTCTCACCTTGCTTATTTAATTTATATGCAGAGTACATCGTGCAAAATGCCGACCTGGATGAATCACAAACTGGAATTAAGATTGCTGGGAAAAACATCAACAATCTCAGATACGCAGACGGTACAACTCTAATGGCAGAAAGAGAAGAGGACCTAAAGAGCCTCTTACTAAGAGTGAAAGAGGAGAGCACAAAAGTGGGCTTGAAGCTCAACATCAAAAAAACTAAGATCATGGCATCCAGCCCCATCACTCCTTGGCAAATAGAAGGGGAAATCATGGGAGCAGTGACAGAAATCACATTCCTGGGATCCAAGATAACTGCAAACGGTGACTGCAGCCATGAAATTAAAAGACGCCTGCTCCTTGGGAGGAAAGTGATGGCAAACCTAGACAGCATAATAAAAAGTAGAGACATCACCCTGCCAACAAAAGTCCATATGGTCAAAGCAATGGTATTCCCTGTAGTAATGTATGGCTGTGAGAGTTGGACTATAAGGAAGGCTGAGTGCCGAAGAATAGATTCTTTTGAATTATGGTGCTGGATAAGACTCTTGAGAGTCCCTTGGACTGCAAGGAGATCGAATCAGTCAATCCTAAAAGAAATCAACCCTGACTTTTCCCTGGAAGGCCAGATACTGAAATTGAAGTACTTTGGCCACCAATTGAGAAGGGAGCACTCACTGGCAAAAGAAGAAGGGGACGGCAAAGGATGAAATGGTCAGACAGTGTTATTGATGCAATGGACATAAAATTAAGCAAACTCTGGAGCTTGATGGAAGACAAGAGGGCCTGGAGTGATGTGGTCCATGGGGTCGCAAAGAGTCGGACTCGACTGTGCAACTGAACAACAAAAATAAATTGTCTGCATTTACTGTTATTTCCACTTTTGTTTTGAACACACAAGTTTTACAGAAGCTACCCAGAATTAAATGTAGAGGTTTTTTTTAAATGATGCATTTGAATAAATTGTCAAAACATATGAGCAGGGAAGAAGGAAAACAACTTCTATTTGACCTTGAGTGTAGAATTTCTTCTATAAGAAATAAAAAGCTAGAGGGTAGTTGATTCTTGTCATTATATTGTTGCTGATTCTGTGGCTAGTTATTAATTTTATTTTTTATGATTCACAATCTGCTCTTTGAGATATGCCATATGCTCAAAGCAATTCAAGGATGACAACTGTCAGAATTAGTCCAATAAAAATTGCCTAAATGAGGAAGATTTACTACAGCTTGATATTTCTACAGAAAGTCCCTCCTACAGTCCTAAAATGCCCCCCCCCATCTGTCAGTCACATACTAAAGCCTGGAATGGAACTTAAAACAGGATTTTACAGTGGTTTTTTTTAAAGAAGTAGTTATCTTAATACATAGAAACATCACTAATCTTGGCTACAGTGGCAATAGCAAGAAACAGACCTCTTTTAGAAAAAAGTCTATCTGCTTTTACATCTAGCACAGTGTTTATGTTAGATAAAAGATTTACAGTGAATACGCAAGTCCACAATTAATTCACAAGCAGGTATATTGACTTAACAGGAGAGTGTCTATTTTATAACTAATAAAATTAAATTGGAAGAAACCTATATCTTTCAAGCAATAAAGTAAAATCAAGGCATATTTTTTTCATTACTAAAGGAGCTTGAAAGGTAGATAAAATCCAGAAGAAAGCTCTAATCAAAACATACTTTATAAATGCAACCATAATTTCTTTCCCTCATTTTGTTTCTGCCTATTTATGAATTCAGTTTCATCTGTTTCTATTCACTCCAAAGACAAATCTTTGTCCTCCTATAGAATTGCACCAAACAGACTGTTGCAAAGGGAACTTTCTCACAATTATGATGTTGGTGCAGGCTGTCAGCACAGAGGGGATGGAAATGAGGTTGGGGACAGGGAAGGGAATTCTAATAGACACCATGATATATACAATGAACGCAGGGCTATCCTGTGAGAGAAAGACTTGTCAAACTAATCAGATCTTCTATAGCTAGGTAAAAGCAGTAACGGAAGCTCTAACCTTGTAAAGATGCAGCTGCTGCTCCTCTGACATCATCAGGTCATGGCTGTCTATCACTATGGATTCCATGTCAATCAGCCAATCCCAGAGCTCCTGGTAGTCTGAATCAAAGTCCAAAAGGCTGCCGATAAGGAACAAAATGTATTATGCATAATAGGGAATAGCTGTTAAAATCCTGTATTAGAGTGAGATATTCTTGAAAATACATGATGTTTTTCCTTGCTATGTTTCTGAGCAGGTACTTGTATTTCAACAGCATGGATGAAAATTCAGATCCACTATACAATGTGACCTAAATCTCAGCAAATTATGCTAGATTCTGTCAGCCACAGCAGATGTATTTGTTACTTGCTTCAAAAACTTAAGAAATAGGAACTACATATTACGGCTGCTTAACAGCTTTTAAACTGCTAACATATTAGAAAACCTCTGCAAAGGGTGTTATATGCTACTGTCTTCACCAAAAAATACTACTTTCATAGAAAAATGACTCAATCCATTTAGCCATCCCTCTGCTGTCTGCCTGCCTATCTTTGCAAATATATACCCTACATTTATTTTCATGCATGAGTAGCTAGCATTTCAACTTAACGCTTTAAGATAGGCTTGAGTGAATATGGTAAGCCACTGAGAACTAAGGCCAGATACAGTATTAGACAGGTGTTCCCTACAGACATGTTGGAAACAAAGGTAAGGACAGGAAGTCAAAACAATGAATCCTTGAATAGCCAGCAATCATTAAAATTCAAAGAAGGATCACAACGGTTTCCAACAAAATAAATCATTAGAATAAGAAGCTTAAAAGGATTAATGTTATTCTCTATTGAAAGCCTAGTGAATAAGTAAAACACTGTGATACCAAAAAGAAGAGACACAGGAAAACCTGCAAAATTGTCTGCAGGATAACTCCAAAAGGAACCATTGAGACTTGCAAACTGCTGCTCTCAGGACCTCACCTATGGCAATGGAACATAATTAAGAATCCAAGGACTACAGTATATGATAGCATGTGATATTGTAGTACCACTCACCAAAACTAATTGTTTTGGCATATTTAAATTTAAAATAGAAATATCCACTATGATACTTGTAGCTCATAAAGGATTCAGTGCAATTCGGCTCCATACTGGCCACAAAGCCAACAGCCACAAAGCCAATGGCTGCTGCGGGCGGGGGCCACACCATATGCAGTACAAAGTGATAAGTATGCATATATCAGTGCCAAACAAGATTAAAATTAATTTCAGAGTTTTAGATTAAAATTAAGTCAGCATTTATACACCAATATCAGTACAATTCTGCTTAGGCTGTTAAAATATCTGAATATACAGGATGATGACTTGTGATTTTCCCCATGGATACCTATGCATGAATATTTATATCATCCAAACACTAGTTAAAAGATGATCCCAGACACTGAATCCTGGATTCATATTATATTCAAATCACAGGCTTGTCTATGAAGAATTACACATTCCAGTGCAACATTTTCACTTATGCAACCATGGGGAAGAAATCCTGTAGAGGTATTAATTAAATCCAACTTTTCCTTCGGAGTGTAAATTCCAAGATTATTTTTATGTCAATGAAACAAGCATGTAATCATCTGTTTCATGTAATTACTTCTGTGCCTCAGAATCCTGGAGGAGAATGCTCTAGTATTTATGAGGTCTATCCAGCCCCGTAACCAGAAAAAGTTCGGCAGATGTGCGGGGGGGGCACATGCCCCTGATGTGGAGGTGTCACTTGGGATGTCACCAGGAAGTGACTGGTCAGCAGGTGGGCTCTTTTTCTCCCTCCCCATTAACAGATGATCAGGAGCCTCCTGCGTGCCAGGAATGGAGAGCGAGAAGGAGAGCTGAGGAGGCAGGCAGGCAGGGCAGCGGGCAGTGAGCAGAAAGAAGCAAAGATAAACGCCTGTCTGCTTCCTTGGCTCTCCTTCAGCAGCAGTGTGGTGGTTGGGCTGGCTGGCAGAGGCGCAGTGAGGCACTGGGGTGGGCCATTAGAGAATGGCCTGCCCCAGCCCCTCACTGCATCTGCACCAATCAGCCCAGCCACCACGCTGCTGCTGAAGGAGATCCGAGGAGGCAGGCAGGTGTTTATCTTTGCCAACAGGGCTACCAGGGGTCAGGGGAGGGAGGGGGTCTGGCATCCTACCGGGAAGGACAGGGGGTCATCCATGGGGGACACTGCCCCCATGGCTACAAGCCTGGGTCCATCTTCAGGTACTTTCAGGATATCTATGGAAAAGCTAGTTACCAGAGTGATTGAAAGCTCAATACTCACAATTAGCAACCCCTTTTATTCACAGAAAAACAAAATTTGACCATTTAAACCAGCATGTCATGACAATGACTATACCAAACTCTTTCAAATACTTTGAGTTTCAAAAACTGTACAATGTTAATCATGGATTTATCACACTTTGAGAACTATATATGGTATAAAAAGGTCAAAGAGACAACACAGACAAGATGAAATGTGCACATTCTACCATGGCTACCAACTTATCATATTTTATTTCTGTTTGGTGCACTCCATGCGACCCTCATATGACAATTTACCAAATTGGTGCCATTTAATCAAGGGAATGGAGATTACATTAATTAGGTAACTGCCATTATGAACCCAGTATCAGAAATATACTTGGCAGAACCTGGCTTCTCCCTGCTTTGGCTCCTGGACATTAACAGATATCTAGGAAGGGCTCAGACAGTGTGTCATCCAGGTGACTGACATTCTGAATCTACCAGTGGAAAAATACTGGAAGTGGAACAGTACCTGACTCTCCCTTAGGTTTAGCATGTTCACTTGGCAACATGCGCCATGGTTTGGGCATAATGTTTTGGGGAGAAAGATGGTGTGGGCTTACTTTAGAGAAGTTATAAAATTATGGGGTGTGAGTGGTTATGAGATATTGGAAAAGGACTGATAACAGCACAACCAGCCTTCCTTTAGTAAGGAATAAAACATTTAAAATGAAGGGAAAAACAAGACGGAAGGGGGAGGCTTCTGTAGACTCAGCAAGAGGCAACCTTTTATCTTCCCGTGCAGCTCTTGTACGTGGGTAAAGCATCTCCTTTTTTTTATTAGTTTGCCTTTTCTGTATTCATGTCTGTGCATAAGTAATACAGAAGAGAAAAGACACAACATTAAACTGCTCTGTTTAAAATTTGGAAATAAAAATTTTAAAAATTAAGAATTTCTACTGCATTGGTTCCACTTTAAAAACAGGACCAAAAGCAATTGAGAAAGTGCTGTAGGAGTCAAGAAGGGATGTTGTGCAGAGATAGGATGGTCATGCTCCTTAAAAGATTCTGTCAGGCTTTGGATTATGACTTTTTGATTATGTAGTCCATTTCAAAATCAAATCCAGGAATTTGCCAACAATACATAATGGGTGATGTGACGGATTGCACTTTTAAAAAGCTTAGAAGTGCTGTGTAAACAGATAAAGGAATGTGAAGGGTAAATACTTCACAAAGCCAGAGAGTCTTGAGTGACAGGCTGCTCCAAGGAATCTTCTTGAGCAGAGAAATTCATTCTGAATTCAGCCCTGACTGAGAGCAATTTAACATAGACAGGAGAATTGGGGGAAGTTGGCAAGGAAGTGTGGGTAGTTAGGTGAAGGTTTCCATTTGGGCCAAGGAAAGGAGATAGATCTTCTAGTGATAGAAGAATTAACCTACCCAGACTTCTGGTTTGTGGATCAGCGATGGCGGTCGTTCTCCCCGGACCTTGGGGGAGCGACTCGCACACCAGCGGCATGGAGGGGTGCTACCTCAAGTAGCACTCACACGGAGCCTTGGTGATAGGCTCCAGGCCATAGGGCTTCTGAGGGGCAGCCTCTTCGATGGCTAAATGCCAGAGAATTGAGGTTTCCCTCCACCCTGACGGTCCTGCTGCTGTGTGGCCCTTGGGCACAAGCTGATTCGACTGGGACAAGCGCTGGAGATCGAGCGGAATATCGATTACTGTGAGCTAGGTCAGAGAAATGACTGACAATGAACATGAGTTCAAAATAAACAGAATATTTTAAAAGCGAACTACCCCCCATGGAAAAAGCGGAGCGTAAAGAGGGACACCTCTTATGCGAACGGACAGATAAGCGTAACAAAGGGGGCAGGGGGGGAAACAAGCAGCGATTTTGTTTTAAGATACTTACTTGAGCGCTGACAATTTTTTGAGTTTGGAATTGTAAACAATCGTATAAAATGGCGGCCTCGCAAAGAAAGTTTAAAGCGAAACCAGCAGGTAGTCAGAGCCCAAAACCGGAAGAGGGAGCAGACGTCATGAAAATGTTAGCGGATATGTTCAAGCTGGTGATGGAGCAACTCGATGGTATTAACCAGCAACTGACCTCGCTGAATCAAAACTTCGCATCCCAGCAGCTCCAACTGGCAGAAATGGTGAAGGTGGAGCAAACGACTGAGAGAATTAAAGAGATAGACACCACAAACAAGAAAATGAAGAAAAGAATAGGGGAAGTTGAAGCAAAACAAAACTTCCAAGAAAACCGTTTGTTACAGCTACAAATGGAAAAAGCCAACATGATTCTCAGATTCCAGGGAGTTCCTGAATCGACAAAGGAGGATCTGAGGAAGTTGCTCAGCGAGATCATTGCTCCAGCAATAGGCTCAACAGCGGATTAAATAGTAAAGATAGTCTCTTATAGGGCATACTCCAATTTTATATATATATAATATAAAAAAGCCTGCCTGGAGAAATTGTGGTCAGATTATCAAGAAGACAGACCAGAGATGCTATTTTAAAAGCGACTTCAGCAACTCCACTGAAAATGGGGAATATAAACATTAAAACTTTAAACAAAGAATTTTTGAGACGCCAGTTGGGATTGGAGGAAGAATCCAAAGATGAAGAATCGAAATCAAGTGACTCTGCTACCTCTGGAACGGATGAGGACTCTGCTGTAGAAACGGGTGCAGGCGCAATGAAAGTTCCATATGATTTCAGAGACAGAAAACCAAAGTAAAGGCAGAAGGACTCTGAAAATTGCCTTTTGAAGCAAATAACAAGAAGATGCTCAGAAAGTTCTCTCACAACTAACATACTAACATTGAAGCCGAGACAAACAAGAACTCTACAAGTATATTGTTGTAC